ATCGGCGGTATCGGATCAAATTCTCAATCCGGAGCGTAAGAGCTGATTGTATTTTAATTATTATATATATAAATTATATCGATTGCATCTTTATTTGTTAGAATTAAACTCTATCATATATAGGATAAATATATACATTCTTTTTGCTTAGGAAATCCTGGATCTCCTGGCCACTTGCTTATCTCATGCAGGCGAAAGAAGCTGCTGATACAAGTGAATTATCGCTCAGGTACCACTCGATTTTTTGTGATTTTGAATATCTATTAAATTTATATCTCTAACAATAAGATGAATGGACTATATCTGAAAAACGATTCATGTTTTCAAAAAATAAACTTAATCATACATCTATAAAATTGCAAGCATTTTTGCTTGCAACACTTTTTATGCAGAGATTCGCGATTTTAATATCAATTTTGAGACTAAACAAATATTTAAAATGAACTCTCTCGTTATATATTTGTATAATATATCAATTTGATTGGTCGGATATAAATACTGAAATTTATTTTTTGGTACAGCATTTAAAACTTTGTAGAAAATGTTGCGACACGTGCTCGGAACACTGCTATCATACAGACAGTGCAATGCAATGTAATATGCACTTTACACTTGGTGTACAGCGGTACCGATATCACGTTTGCTATTATATACAAGGACAAATAGTGTCTTTCCTCTTATCGGCGCCGTTATATCGACTGCTAGTATAATGACATTTGACTCCATTGAATGTACGCGCCCGAGTCCATTTCAGAATGATCCATACCAAAGAGCTGGGCATACGAAACGCGCCGTTATCTGCTACCTTTGCGTCCGGTCAACTTCTCTTCTCCGTCAATCAGAATAAATTTTATCTATTTCTTATATTAATCCCACGAATTTGTTAGAAAGAACTTTAGATAAAAATGCGGAACGAAAAACGTTAAAAATGTTTTTAAAAATCAACGGAAGTAATTTTGCAGTATTTAATGACTGCAACCACTTTCCAATTCAAAATGTTACTTTTTTTATGGAGGTGTATATATAAGTTTGTCTTTTGCATATTCATTTTTTATGTATGTCGTAAACAACTTTACTAAAATATTCTTGATTGATTTACGATTATAATGACGTAATGCAGGTGCTTCTTTTTAAAATTCCAACAGAAGGAGAATGATCTTCATCAATTTATCACCTTGTTTCCATGATTACGATATTATAAGAAACAAAAGATAATTATTTATAGATCGACTGATAAAGCGATAGGACATACAAAACAAATTTTGCACAATAAAAAGGCGCTAGTTTGCGTTAAGTAGCTACTTAAATCTTCAGCTAAAAGAACAATAAACAATTTATATATGCGCTTTTGATAAGGGAGTGTAAGCTTACAGTTACTTGTTCATTCTCTCTCTTTCTCTTCTATTTTATGTTTTATTCTTATATTACACACACTTATGTCTCATTCTTTTTTCATTAAAAAATATGACACAAAAATTCTCGAGACTTGTTCTGTTATGTGATAAAAAGTCAAAGAAGAAATATTTCCTCACGTATGAAAAAGAAGCTTGTCAATTTCGCTTTGGTCGATTCATGAATAATGCAAAAAAGACGCTTACTCTTAACATAATACAGGCGTTTACATAAGTTAAGGAAGTATCTTAGAAGCTTATAACTTATGAAAATATAGCTGACATGATCTAATATTTAAAAATACCATTTAAAATATAGGAAACTCTAACAATAAGTTATAATATGTCCGTTAAAATTTATTACTCACATTCTCATTAGATTTTTCTTCTAATTTAGCGGATGTTATTAATGAACAAAATGAATGATTTCATTAGAATTAAGATTTGCAGAGTCATGAAAAAATAATAAGTCAATGTAAATCATATTTTCCGACTTGGAATTTGAAAAAAGAATATCACTATAACCATAAATCAAGCAGACGAGTATTTTAGAAAAGTTACGATATACATAAAAAATTAAATACGCAAAAAAACCTAACTTACATACACCTACATAAAAACATAACATTTTGAATTGGAAAGTGTAGTCACTAAATATACTCCAAAATTGACGAATTTCAGGGTCCACATTTCCAATCTGCAATTCATATAAAATACACATATGTGTTAGCACATGCACTCATACATGTATACGCATAGAAATACGCGTATATTTTTATTGTCATTCTGGGGAAATTGCCAGAGTTCGACAAAAATTATTTTTCGTTGAAGTGTTATCGCTACAAACTAACTAACATTATTTAAAATCTTACATCCTCTCTATTCCTCTCTCTTTCTATTGTATTTATATATTATATATTTTTGTCACTTTTTCTCTTGGTTTCCACACACAGATTCCGTCACTTGGACACCATGGTGCGCCTGAAGACCGGCGGTACCGGAAGTCGTCGCGGTAGCAGTAACGGATGCAGCCCGGATCCGTCCCCGTCTGCTTCGCCCTCGCGAGGCAGATCGCCCAACGGCCGCGCGTAATCGCATTGCATCGATCTTTTCTTTCTTCGTGCAATTTCTTTCCGAGGAGTTCTCCAAGCGTACAACAGTCGCAACGGATGGCTCCGAAACCCCCGTTGCGTGCTCCAAGAAGATAGACGGAGAGGAAATCTGCTAGTTACAACTTTACATCGGGAACTGATACTGCCGACAATCTCGATAAAAGCCCACCTTAGACCACATATATAATTTGGGATAGAGAGAGAAAAATGATTCTTTATATTTATATATCTAATGTGTCTAATAATTTTATGTGTCAAATTGTAAATATAATTATAAATAAGAGAAATCTCATGTTAAATCTCAAATTATAATTACACACGTTACTTAAACCTTGCAAAAATTATTTAAATTAGCATATTACTTGTTCTCGGTCAAAATATTACGGCAAAACAATTAAAACATTAAAATCGTGAATTATCATTATTAATTATATATATATATATATATATATATTTGGCGCGCACTTTCTATCCATAAGAATTAACATGCTCCAATTTTAGCAACTTCGATTCTATATAGATGTCCTCTATATTATGAGATGTACAGAATAATATACGTAGAATTTCGTTCTAGATTCGATCGCGAATTACAAATCGTCTAAAATGGGCTTGAACGGAGAACTTTGCGTTAAATTGCTCATCAAGAGACAGAACCGATGAGATGTCGCCGAAATTGCCCCGTGGTATGTTTCACTCGATAAGAAATTAAATACATTTCAGTCTCAACTGGTGCGACGTTTTTTTTAATATTCCCGACCCACCACTTCAGAAAGGATATAAAGCTTAAAGCAAAATAGAATGAAATGAAATCTTGTGAAATATCTTTGTATAAATTATTAAAAATTATTAAAAATTATTTCGACCAGCAGATAAATTTAAGAAACCTCGTCTGATAACATCGCAAGAGCAAAGATGATACCGATAACGTTAAGATTAGTTGACTGCATCGTTGTATCATATTTAAGTGACAACAGATAGGTCATAAGCAAACTGCAAGATAAGCACGTATATATACATACAATTGGAAAAGTTGAAGTTACGCAACATGCAATCTCCCCTGCGATCGACTATTCAACTGTTCACCTCGCCTGCGTACGCGTCTAATAATTTTTAAATTTTCATTTCATTCTATTGTGCGCGAAATATGAGCTTCAGCAGACGAGTCTGCGACATCCTACGTATAATTGACAGCGTTGGATTCGCTAATTTCGTTGAAGCAGCTATTATAATACAAGCGACACACACATACACACGCGCGCGCGCGCGCAAAAGGCCCGTACCGCTATCAGAAACGAGCTTTAATTACTTCTCACGAGTTCACGAGCACCAAAGCTCTACCGGGATTTCAATTCGGAAAACGGTGGCTGGGAGTAGATCATGCGTGAAGGTGGCGACGAGAAAACGAGCAACGATCGGCATGTGTGTGTGTGTGTGTGTATATATATATATATATGTACGAAGATTGAGCGGTGACCTGTCACCGCTTCCACAGGGTGTGTTGTAAATGTAGGTGAAGAGTAAATGTCTATTTATAAAACGGTTGGAGAGACAACGGAGGGACGGGGGGATCCCCCGGCGGAGGAGAGATTTACCCCCGTGCGCAGAACATGGTACGTTGTATGGGGACGTTTATTCAAACTGCGACCCCCGCTACAGCGCCATTGATGCTGGTCTGCAGCACTGGCTTCCGAATTTTTGCGAATGTCGATTAAAGTAACATTACAGAAGAGAATCGATCCTAAAATATAATCGGAAGCGCTGTGACTATTGCCAAAAAAATCGTTTGCATAGAGCGATATCCTCAACCAATAATAAAAAATGCGTTCGATACTGATACCTCAAATGAGCAAAAAAGAAAGCTACTTTTGTTCGTGCTGCGACTATAATAATAAATCGGTAATAGCGAAAATATGAATGAGAAAAATAGTTATCGATTTTTATCGTATATTGAAATTATTTAGAAGAAACCGTTCAAGAAGCGGCTTGCGTAATAATGCGCAACATATCTAATATACCATTGTGTACACAAAAAAAATTAAATATCTTGCAAAACGTTAGAAAAATTATTAATAATGTATGTGTTTCAACTTAGTTGCCGATATAATTTGCATTTATAACGTGGAATAATTCCAGCGTGTGCAGAAAAACTGATTTTTATGTATTAAATTTATTGTCAATTTTAAGATATTTGCGTTAAAAATTTCACGTTAATAAATTGGTGTAAATTTTCATTCGGATCCAGAGCGTTCGAGATCAGATTATCAAGAAATTATCGCGATGATCCAAGAGATGCGTCACAAGGACCGGTCACCGGTCGAGGATTTCCCTTTCGCTCGTAATCGACCTTTATTTGTTAGGAAAATAAATTTCATTATACTTTCTGTCTCCCCAGTTTCCTGTCTCTCTTTCTCTCTCCACCTTAATTTTATCTGCGTGACAGCAGGGGCGTACGGAGCCGATGCGCGCATAAAACTGACCGGCGCTTCGGCAGGTGCTACTAGTCTCGCGTCTGACGTGGCTCGCGGCAAATGTTCGATACGTACGAGGGAAAATCGCGCGGCGCTCAAGTTACGAGATTACGCGAGGAGAAGTACGCGCGATCGAGGGGGCCGACTTTCCGCCAAAGTGGAGCGGCTTTTCGAGCGGTAGCGGAAACGAAACGTGAGTGGAACCGATATACCGTCGAAACTCCTCAACGTCGTCGCCGTTCGTCACTCGTTCGCTTCGGCGGCGTCGCGTCTCTTCCGAGATCGCGTTTTAAGAATCTGCATTCGCTTATGTAAAAAGATTTAACGTAAAGAGTCAATTTTCCGTCAAAAGAGTAGCCATTTTTCGAGTGGTGGCAGAAAAGAAATGTGAGCGTATCGGCGTACTTCCAAGCCTAAGTTCTTCGACAGTTTCGTTCGCCACTTGTTCCGTTTGGGTTCTTTAAAAATTGCGTCTCAAAATCTACATATATGTACTTCATTTAAAAAAAAAAAACAAAGTTTTATTTATTGAAGAAAAGGAATGAAAAATATAATTAATTAAACATTAATTGTTTGATTAAGATTTTTTTCTAAAAAATATAACTAATTTGCTGTGAAATTAAAGACTGCGTTCCGTTTCACGCATGATGCGCATGATTTATTTTTTTATCTTTGTTTAACATTTGATGAACAACAAGGATACCATGATACATCATGGTGTCCTTGTTGTTCATCAAATGCGTGAAACGGAACGCAGCCTAAGTTTTTGTGAAATAAATACAATTAGGTGAACCTGCGTGATTTTATTTGTCCAAACTTGCGTCTTTCCGTAATATTTATCATGTGTGGCACCTCGTGTGTAATTAATTCAGCACACGAGCGTCCCACGACGTTACTTTCATAATAATTTACGGATTATTATTAGACGCGTTCGTCGATATCATCATTTCCTTTTGCTCAAAAGGATTAATACGCCGCCTCGCAAAAGCGCGGAAGAATTGATCCTTTTCTAAAGCAAATATAGGAGGATAACGGCGAGAGAGGCGACGTTGGCGCGCCGATAGGAACGTTCAAAAAAAAAAAAAAAGAAAAAAAAACAGAAAGTCACGAACGCGTGTGCGACGTGTAGGTACGTCGCGTTCGTGCCTAATCAGGCGGGTGTTTGCACGCTCTGACGCTTCCTCGCGAAAATCTGCTGCATTCCAGCCCGGGGTACTCTGGCATCATGAACATCGATGAATTTCGCGTGCGCGGCAAGGAGATGATCGAGTACATATGCGACTACATTCGCACGCTGGAGGGCAAGAGGGTGACGGCGAACGTCGATCCCGGTTACCTGAGACCCAAGCTGCCGAAGGAGGCACCCCCCCAGCCGGAATCATGGGACGCCATCATGAGGGACGTCGACGACAAAATAATGCCCGGAGTGAGTTTGCGGTCGTAACGGGTTGCCGCGATTATCGATCTCCCTTCTCCCTCCCTCCCTCTCTCTCTCTCCTTCTTGCCATTGATTTCAACCCCCTTTTTTCCGATATAAATAATGTTCGTGCACGTGAAAGAGAGAAAAAAAAAGATAGACAAAAACTGTTTCTTCTTTCTCTTTTCCTCGGCGATTTACAAAACTAATAACGTGACATTCGATAGATCAATCGCAACGCTTTTTGCGATGCAGCAAGTTTTTCCGAATGCAATCCCTGTGGAAACTTGAGAAAAAGTTAAGGTCGGTCCGTGACGTAAAATGTTTGTGATGCAACGCGTATTACAAAAACTAATAACGTGATATTCGGTAGATCAATCGCGACGCTTTTTGCGCTGCAGCAAGTTTTTCCGCGCGCAATCTTTGCGGGAAACTCGAGGAAAAGTTAAGGTTGGCCCGCGTGACGTAAAATATTTGTGATGCAACGCGTATTATGTAAACTTTAAACGTATTATGTAAAAAAAATATTCTCAACTAATAATAAAAGTAAATTAGTGGTATCATTCATATATATACATATATATATATAAATATTTTCTTGGAGTCCAATATTCGTGGTATCTAATGTTTCTATTCGAAATCTAAAAGAAATCCAAGTGACGTCTAATTAAAACGATTTATATAGATGATCGGGTCACTCTTTTTTCATTAAATGGAAAATTGTAACTAAAGAACCCATTTTATACTCAATAACGTCAGAATTAATATTTTAGTTTAGAAAAAGGGGAAAATTAAGGCGCTCTCGTAAATTAAGATTGCCCAATGTGATAGAAAATGTTTAAAAATAATTTTTAATCGAGCGATCGGTCGGTTGAGCAATTGAAGGACGATGACAACGTCACAACATTCCGATCTCCGGTTCCGACAGAGATAGCGACTTTGAGAATAAACGCGTCGCGACTTTTTCACAAGCGCATGCGAAGTTCGTTCTTAATCCAATGCAATGTTATCGCGGTGACAATGAAAGTCGCGCCGTTGTCAACCGGCATTTCCGCCGTCCATTCCGTTGTCCCATTCCATTCCACTCTTCCCCCCCGGGATCCCCCGCGGATAAATCAATTTCAGAACATAAAAGTAGGTTACTCGACTTGGAGGACAATGCTTTTTACAGATCACCCACTGGCAGCATCCGCGATTCCACGCCTACTTCCCGTCCGGCAACTCGTTCCCCTCGATCCTGGGTGACCTGCTGTCGGACGCGATCGGCTGCATCGGCTTCTCGTGGGCGGCGAGCCCGGCCTGCACCGAGCTCGAGACCATCGTGCTGGACTGGTACGCCAAGGCGATCGACCTGCCAACCGAGTTCCTGTCGGAACAGAAGACCGGCGGCGGCGGCGTGATCCAGGGTTCGGCCTCCGAGTGCATTCTGGTGACAATGCTGGCGGCGCGAACGCAGGCGATCAAGATGCTGAAGGAACGGGAGCCCAACAAGGAGGACTCGGCGTTCCTGCCGAGACTGGTGGCCTACTGCTCCACGGAGTCGCACTCGTGCGTGGAGAAGGCGGCGATGATAAGCCTGGTGAAACTCCGAGTGCTCGAGCCGGATGACAAGGCCGCGTTACGCGGCAATCGGCTCGAATCCGCCATCAACGAGGACGTGAGGAAGGGCCTCGTGCCGTTCTACGTCTCCGCCACTCTGGGCACCACCGGCTCCTGCGCCTTCGACAATCTCGTGGAGATCGGCCCGGTGTGCAAGTTGTACCCCAACATCTGGCTACACGTGGACGGCGCTTACGCCGGTAACGCCTTCATCTGCCCGGAGATGAGGCCGTTCATGGCCGGCATCGAGCACGCCGATTCCTTCAACACGAATCCGAACAAGTGGCTGCTGGTGAACTTCGACTGCTCCTGCCTGTGGGTGCGCAATCGAGTGAAGCTCACGTCAGCGCTGGTCGTCGATCCGCTTTACCTGCAACACGCTCGCTCGGGCGAGTCGATCGACTACCGTCACTGGGGTATCCCGCTCAGCAGACGATTTCGCGCGCTGAAGCTTTGGTTCGTCATGAGATCGTACGGCATCAGCGGCCTGCAGAAGTACATTAGGAATCACATAAGGCTGGCCAAGAGATTCGAGACGAACATGAAGAAGGACAGGCGCTTCGAGATCCTGAACGACGTGCGGGTCGGCCTGGTGTGCTTCCGATTGAAGGAGAACGAGGAGATGAATCAGGAGCTGCTGGCTAACATTAACGCGTCCGGCCGGCTGCATATGATACCGGCTCGAGTGATGGGCAAGTACATCTTGCGTTTCTGCGTGACGAAGGAGGACGCGACCGAGGAGGACATCGATTATGCCCTCAGCGTGATCGAGGAGCACGCTACGGAGGTGATGCTGGCTCACTACGAGGGCACGGAGGACGAGTACAGAGCGAAGGGCCCGAAGAGTCCGGCCGCGCTCGACAAGAAGCTCGTCCGGAAATTCAGCTTCACCAGGAGCGTCACCAGAGACGTTTACAAGAGATCCATCTCCAAGTCCAGCCTGCACGACGGCGCAACGCCGATCATGGTCGTCGACGACCACTCGCAGGTCGACGCCATTGAAGACGATCGTTTCTGCAACAGCAGGTACTCTTTCTGGCGGCTCTGAACGAAAGCTCGCAATACTTTTGCGAGATCCGTCAATTGAACATCGAAAATATGACTTTATTTTCAATTTTAATTTTGCTCTCTATTTTATTTTTACAGACATAAATCCTATTATTTACGTCTTCCTTCTTGAATATGACAGAGGATAGTAATTTCTTTTCTTTCCTTTGACTCAAAAACTCGAAGGGCTCCGGGTCAGTTTCTTTCGCTGCCGTATTGCTTGATAACGATGATTATCGACGAAATATTAATTTCAGATCGTGACGATGTCGATGACGGTCCCCGGCGCCGACTCGGGACGACGTAGATGATAATAAAAAGGGTCCTCGCTACACGGCCGTGTGATGCGGAACTCCCATGGCCCACCGTCGTCAATTTACTGATTCCCGAAGTCGCGTTTGTTGATAAGGACCGACTGTCATCACCGATTTACATCGCCATGTAAGTGTCAAATTATTCGTCTCCGATCAAGTTCGCTATAAAAGTGTCACCCAAGACGATCGCTAGCTCGTTTTATAGACGATGAATTCGGACGTATATTATCTCGAGCACGAGTGATTCTTCGTGACGACAAATTGCGTCAATGGCGCATGAGATATTGAGCCAAGTTTTTTTTGCGATAGAGCGTGAGATTTTCAAGCACATTTTAGACAGTCCGTAATTCGTAACGGAATTCGACTTAAATTTAATTACGAAAGCACACGTATAATGCAAAAATATTCAATTAGCATAAGCTTTTTTTATTACGATCGAGTTTTTACAAGGATGAAAATTTTTATTAAAATTATAGGTAGATTTTTGCCGCGAACAGAAATTCCGTTATGAACTGCGGACGGTCTAAAGTGGGTTTTAGAGGCGGCTGCGCGTATATAGTTAACGTAGTCGTTTGATCTATTTTGGTATATACATATATATGTCTGTATAAGCGATAGAAAGAGAGAGAGAGAGAGAGAGAGAGAGAGAGAGCGAGAGCAAGAGAGAGAGATGAATCGATGTACATATGTAATACGTGATAATGACTGCCGATGTACGCACGGACTCTAATAGTTTTATAAAAAAAAAAACGCTAGTGAATAATTAAAGTGTATCGATCTCAATAGATTTACAAGTGAATTAATAGCAAACGATTACACCCAGTGTACCGGATGTATCAGGATTTTATTTTTTTTTGCGTACTATAATCAAAAATGTAAAGAGAGATGTGTCAATGTTAACACATCAACATTACGTTACATTTAGAAGGTACTTCAGTTTAGGATACAAAATTTCGATCTTAATTAGAAAAGAATTAATCAATTAATGAAGACATAATTGCTTAATATAGTGTCAATATTGGTTAAAAATTACGTTATGATAAATAATGTGTGATATCCGATAATCCATAAAAAAAAAAAAATCCAAAATTATAAAATAATTAACTGAAAAGTCTAGAATATATCTTTTCAGACACTATAATAGTGAAGTAAAATTGTGTACTAGACCTTCAGACACGTGGATATAGTGGACGACATTAAATCGTAACAATTGAACGTTTGTCTTCGACTACGTGCTTCGATTTGTAAAAATCAATTTCAATACGTACAAAGGTAATGCAGAAGAATTACCCAATAATACTAGAATTTTACGAACATGATAAGTAGAATGATTATGAAGTATTTATTTCATATGTACAGATGTTATAATAAAATTAAAGTTCGTAAAATTAACCGAATTTTCTTTCATCCCTTCAACTCCATTTCATTGCAGCATTTCTTTTTGTAATAAAATTCTTTTTTTAGCCAAATTAATCATATTGAATTGTTGGAGAACAAACTCGCGTTTTTAGCAAGTGAAATGATAAATAGAATTTATCCTGAATTCTAGCACGAATAAGTCGTCAAATAAGTTTTGTTTTACTACGTATAAATTTATATTAAATGTAACTTTCTAAATGTAAAAATAAAATATTATTTAATTTGATTCTTTAATTATATACTGCATTATTTTTCTTCATTATATTTCTCTCACTCTATTCTAGATACATTTCTAATAAAAGTAAAAACAACTTAAAAAAAATTCAATCATATATTTATCACTTATAAATCTTATATGAATCAGGGAAATTTACTCAGAAATATGGAAAGATGAGAGAAATTAATGCAATATATAATAATTTTATAAATCAAATGTTTCTAAGCTTCTTGAAATATATATGTAATTGTTATTGTAAAATTTGTATTAGATTATTAAAAAATCCAGAACCATGTATTAAGATAAATTACAAAACTACTGTATGCACAGGATTAAAAAATTAGTAATTAATAAAAAAAAAGTAAGTTGAGAAAATTAATAAAAGTTATCTCATTTTTTAATCCTAAATAACAGCAGTTTGTATATATTACAAAATTTATACTTTTATTGTATGTTGTTGGAAAAGTAAATGCAGAGATATAAATATATCATAACTGTCACAGTTCATATATAATATTAGTTCATGGATGTTCATGGATTCTAAATAATATCGCTACTACATCTGTCCGCATTGAGATATTGTCACTGGAATCTTTGGCTTGTTGTTCGGTCCGGTGGGAACGTTCTCTACTTTCCTCATGACGAGAAGACCATCGATAACTCTACCGAAGACAACGTGTTTGCCGTCCAAGAAATTACACTTGGCGCACGTGATGAAGAACTGGCAGCCGTTGGTGTCCTTGCCGCTGTTCGCCATCGACAGCAGACCGGGCGAGTCGTGCTTCAGCGTGAAGTTCTCATCGGGGAACGTACCGCCGCTGTAGATGCTCAGCACCCCGGTGCCGTCGCCGTTGACGAAGTCACCGCCTTGTATCATAAAGTCCTTGATCACCCGGTGGAAGATGGCACCCTTGAAGCCCAGCGGCACGCCGTCCTTTCTGTACTCCCCCGTGCAAAACTGCCGGAAGTTCTCCGACGTCTTCGGACAGACGTCCTCGAACAGCTCGAAGATCATGCGACCTATCTCCGTGGTGCCCACCGACACGTCGAAGAACACGACCGGGTTATTGGGGTTTCGCAGCTGCGTCTGAATCTGATTCCACGTAGGCATGATTGCTCAGACCCTGATGCCGAGAGCACACACTCGTCGCGGAAGCTCTTCTTCGAGAAGCCTTCTAGTGAAACGGGTGGACGAGTCAGAGAGAAATGTTCTTTCCCAGGGGAGGTGGAGGATCAACGCAGATGCAACAAATATAACCTTAATGGGAAGTGCCCTTGTAGGTTAGGTTACCTCCGGAACGGATTATGCGGCGAACAATTTGCGCAAAACAGCCTAAGATCAGTGTCTCGAAGCAACGCCGGAGTAACGAAGGAGACGAGCGTCGCGTTACGATTCACTTGCAGTAGGTATCTCAACGTAAACTGACGTAAACGCACCTTTCAGCGATCCTCGTGGTATCGCGAGTCTCGGCGGCACGGCGGCGACGAGAGGAGGTTAGGCGTGCGCCTCTGCGATACGCTTTTCTCTCGATAATCAGGGAGAAGTCACTCGACGCTGCGTCGGCACGCGTCTCGCACTCACACGGGACTGATTGGCAATACGAGAAGCGGCACGGGCTCCGAGACGCGTGGACTTAACGTGGAAAACACGCGTGGTTGCCAGTGGTGCTCAATTACGATCGACTCACCTTACTCGCGGCGACGAACCTCAGCAGACGGACGAATCTCGGCGACGAATTTCATCGATGGATCTCTCGAGTGACGACACGACGCATCTTTTTCCCTCTTCAGAGTATCCCCGCCGGCGGCCGGGCGACGGACATTCGCTGTGAAACTTTAAATCAAGAAGCGACACGTGACCGCCGCTCGCGAGAAACTAACCTCAACCTGCCTCAACCTGCGTTGTGTTTACTCACGTAGTCACGTTGCGCACCGCCCGCGCCGGCGACACGTGACGGTCCGACCGCGCGCGCGATTCTGATTATCAACGTGACTACCAAAACAGAGAGTTGAAAATAGAGTTTCTTTTACTTTTCGCATTTTCTCCAGACTTTACTTTCCGCGTCGCGCTTATCCTTAATAATCTGTAAAATTATTAATAACAATTACGTACATGATACACATAAAGAAAAATCGACACATTTATCTCATAGTTATCGTATCTGTTTTATAAACGTATCACGTATTTATCACGTATCTCTTTTATAAACAGTTATTAAAGTAACAAACATTTAATTAAAAAATTATAATCTGTATCTCGCTCTTTTACAGAAAATGTAAACTCAGTATTCGTTTAAACACGTTTAAATTAAGGGTAAAGGTGATGTAAGTATAATTAGAATTTATTTATTAATTGAATGTAGATACAGTTTATAGATAGCAAAAAAAAAGGAACCAAATATCTCGTACAATCATTTAAGGCTATCTTAACATTCACAATTTTTCATTTAACTGTTAATAAAAAGTTGCGATCAATTTCGATCAAATTGCAATAATTTACGGTAAGCCGGTATGCAGAAACAGAATTTACTTTCTTTGTATGTATGCTTGTGTAATAAAATATTTAAAAAATAATTTCTCTACGTCGTAAGTTGTTGAACCATTTTATGGTATATATTCCAAAAACACAAAATAAAACATATGTAATTATTTCTGAGATTAAAGACACATTTAAATTTAAAAAAATAAAGCAAATAACGCCTGAATTAATTATGGCATTTTCGGATTATAACTGGAAATGCTGTTTATAAACTTAACACCTTAATATTCATAATTTTTCGTTTAATTAAAATAAAAAGTTGCAATCAATTTCGATCAAATTGCGATAATTTACGGTAAGCCATTATGCAGAAACAGAATTTGCTTTCTTTGTATGTATGCTTGTGTAATAAAATATTTAAAAAATAATTTCTCTACATCGTAAGTTGTTGAACCATTTTATGGGATATATTCCAAAAACACAAAATAAAACATATGTAATTATTTTTGAGATTAAAGACACATTTAAATTAAAAATTTAAATTTAAAAAAAGTATGCAAATGAAGCCTGAATGAATTATAGAATTTTCGGATTATAACTGAAAATGCTGTTTATAAACTTATTAATAAATACGTTTAACCTGTATAATTAACTGAAATGTGTATTGTAAACTAGGTTTATGTACATTAATAATGTGCAATTTATGTACATTATTAGACATCAACATCTTGCTTTTTACTTACATACTTTTCTAGAAATTAGTTTTAGACTCGTTTAGAATTTATTTTTATACGGATCGTAAGGAAATCCTGTGCAATTTCAGTTTCAAATCACTGGTAAGGGACACTCATAATTACTTTCTACAGAGTCACATTAATGTGATGCATGTGAAATATCACAAGCGATATGCGAACAGCAAAGTGGAAATGATAATAATTATATGTGTATCTTGATGTGTTCCTTCAACGTGGTCTTGCCGTCGAATCTTTCCTCGCAGATTCCGCAGACGAAATCGTCCCCGTCGTCGCTGTCGTGATGATACTGCACAATAACGTGCGACGTTTCGTCCGGGATTAGAGCGTCCTGCTCGTCCTGAATATGATTCTTTTCCTCTTTCAGGGCTTGCCGAGTCACGACGCTCATAGGCATGTCCGCGCCGCTTATCTGCACGATCTGGCTGGAGTAATTCTCGTGGCCCTGCGGCGGATTCGGTATCGCCAGCACGGGGAGCGACTCGTTCTGCTTCGATATTATATTTAGGGTGTTGTTCTGCTTGGGGGACTGAATCAAGTGTATCGTGGACATGTCGTTTTGCCCGACGACCGTCTCGTCGAGCGCGTCGTCCACGGACTCCGCGGACATGATGCTCGTCGCGTCGTTACGCTTATCGATGGCAATCATCTCGAGAGGGTCCCTCTGATCCGACTGTTCCACTCGAAGCACCTGAATGTTCTCGTCCTCCTTGCCGTCCACGATGAACCGTATGTTGCTGTGCTTGAGCTCGGATATCGCGATGAAGCCGTCGCTACTCTTCTCCGTAGTGACCACAACGAACGCGTTGTTCTGCTTCTCTGCGTTTATAACGTGCATGTCGTCCGATTTGTCGGACGTCTCGGTGATGGACAGCAGGGCCTCGTTTTGCTCCGCCTTCGGTATGAAGTCCAGGTTCGCCTGCTTCGCCTGCGCGTTCGCGCCGCTCGACGACGACTTTGATTTCTTCTTCGTCGGTTTCGTCTTCGGAGACGCGTCGCTGTTACTCTTCGCCTTCGCCTCGGCTATCATCTGATCCGAGTGCTTGACGATGTGCGCGCAGAGCTCGTCGCGATCCTGATTCAGGGCGCCGCAGAGCGGGCACTGGTACGGAGGATGGCTCGCCTCCGTCTCGTTCTTCCCCGCCGCGTGGACCCATCGAACGTGCTCGCGCAGCACGACCTTCTGATTGAAGGCCCTCGAGCACAACGGGCACACGTGCGGCCTCTCCCCCGTGTGAATCCGCTCGTGCTTCCGCAAAGTTCCGCCGTCCCGGAACGCCTTCCAGCAAAACTTGCAGCCGTACGGCCGTTCGCCGGTGTGCGTGCGGTTGTGTATCAGGTATCCCTGGCGAGATGAGAACGTCTTCGAGCAGGTGTCGCACTGAAAGTGGGCCGGGCTGCCGGCGTGCGTTCTGCCGTGCTCCCAGAGGCCCTGCCGCGACACGAAGCTCTTCCCGCATTCCGTGCAGGTGAACGGCGAGTCCCCGGGATGCGCCGACAGTCTGTGCTCGTCCAGCTCGTTCTGCTTCTCGAACTGCGAGCCGCACACCTCGCAGGAGTGGGTCTTCTTACGGTGGATCCACTGGTGGCGGAACATCTTCTGCTTGGTCGTGAACTTCTTTCCGCACTCCGAGCAAGCGTGCTTGCCCCACTTGTTGTTCGGCACACCCTGCTCGAGGTTGCTCTGCATTATCTTCTTGGCGCAGGTGGTCTGGTGATTCGCCAGATGATTGCCGTCCTGGAACTGCTTGTCGCAGTACTCGCACTCGATCGGCATGTTCCAATTTTTCGAGGCGTGAATCTTCTCGTGAGACGCCAAAGCGGTGGCGCGTGAAAAATTCATTCCGCAGTGCTTGCACGCGTACGGCTTGTCGTTGGTCCCTTCGGCTTCCCCGTAGTCTCGTTTGTTCGTGTTGTTGTATCGGTAAAGCGTCTCGACTTTGACTATGCCGTCGGGGGTGTTGAACGAATTTATCGTTATATCGTACTGCTGACTGTTGCCGACCGAATCGTTGATATTGTTTTGCTCGGTGTACTCGCTGAATTGCGTGACCTCGCCGTTGGGCATCACCGTGAACTCCTGGAGCGTATCCATCTTGGTGTCCTGGCTCGATATCGTGGTAACTATCGATTGCTCGCTATTGAAATTGTACGACGAGACCGGCCACTGGACCTGGCACACGTCGTAGTTCTGCACCGACTGGACAGACGAGGAGGATGGCACCGCCTGAGCGGTGTTCTGCGAATCGGGCGCGTTCTCCGGCCACTTCCTGAACGTCTCCGTCACCGATTGAGGCATGTTGTTACTTTGGGACTGCATGATGGCACGCCCCGCGACGTACGTGTGTATCTTCATGTGATTCGACAGGCTGGAGGGCCGCTGGAAGTCCGAGCCGCAGATGGTGCACTTGTGCGGCCGCTCGACGTGGTGCATGTGCACCTGCAGCATGTGCGCCTGCAAGCTGCTCTTGGAGCGGAACAGATTGCCGCACGTTCTGCACGCGTGGGGACGATCCACTTGATGGCAAACCATGTGGTTGTTCAGGTCGATCTTCCTCTCGAATCTCTCGCCGCACGTGGTGCAGGACAGCCTGGGCGACGACTGGCACACGGTCTGATGCTCGACCATCTCCTCCTGGGTGAACAGGTGCTTGCAGACCGGACAGCTGATCTTCTTGTCCTCGAAGCACGGATACATGCCGCCCAGCTGGCGCAGTGCCTCCACAGCCATGGACTCGTCGTCGCCCGACGTGTACTGCTGCTGCTCCTCCTGCTTGATGTACATCGGATACACCACCTGATTGTCGTCCTCCTCCTCCTCCTCCGACTGTTCCTCGGCAAGGATCTCGACGGTACCCTGGGTCTCTACGATGTCGGTGTTGCTGGCGGTGTTGCCGACGGTGACCTCGGTGAGGCCCTCCTGGAGAACGCACTCGTCGACGGGCTCGCATATCTCCTCGTGCGATATTATGTTCTCCTCTATGGCGTCGTGCACGTCGGCGAGGGGAAACGTCACATACTGCTCCGTCTCGTGCGCCTCCATTTCCGCTCGTTTGGCACTTAGGCTCCTAGGTCGGGCATGTAGGCTCTCGGCGAGACGTACCGCAACGTGCGCGACGATCCTGGAGGGAAACCTAGTTTCACCTCAAGCTAGGTGCCTTCTAGGTTAAGTTGGGTCCTATCATACCTGGTCGTCCGTCGTCGCGCACTCGTGTCTCCCGTCTCTGTCGGGAGTGTCAGCCGCCCGTGACACGCCGTGCGACGATTATCGTGCACGATTTGCAGCCGCTGAACGGTGTATCGTCCCTTCCTCGTCCTGCGCGGGTATATAGGTACACCGACACCGTCCTGCAGCACAGAAGGAGAGAAATATGTAGTTTTACGTATTACGATTTACGCGAAAGCGTAGCGTTTGCGGTTACTCGAGGATGCGTACAACAGCGTGCGGGAGAATTCCCGAAAGAAGAATTAGTTAAGTCATCTGGACGATTCGATTGCAACACTTGTATCAGCTGCGGCAGGACTGCGCTGCGAGAGGTTATTTGCAGAGTAGTGCCCCATATCGGGCACCGTCTGAACTCTGAAGTTGCGCGACGGTGAGCAGCAGCTCCTCTCTTCGATAGAGACGAGTGCAAGAGGTGCACCTGAAAGAGGCCGCTTATCGCAAAAAGCAGCAAACTTCATACTCTTCGTAGTGTTTATCTGCTTAAACGGTGCTGATGGTGCTGACACATGTTTCAAAGGTTATAGATTATATCTCGCAGCTGACACATAAATGATACTACTGGTGAATACTGTGTGCGAGTGAAATAAGTAATTGTAATAATCTTGTTAACGGCAACCTTTGGTTCGGATCAGAAAGTAATTAAACACGTGGATAGTAATTAATAAGTTGGCTATCAAATAATTGACAACCATTAATTCTGTCATCACATTCGATTGAAATCTCGTGTCGTCATGAAACGAGCAGAGGAAACTTTAGCGGGATGGAAGTTGATATGGTGGTTGTTTAAATTATTCGGCCTCCCGATCACGATTCCTTGGCTGGTGTATCACTTTTACGATGTTATGCAGCAGAAGCGGAGAAGAGCAGCTCTTGGCAACAAGGTAACGCTTTGCGAAATTTTTGTTAAATTAATATAAATTTTATTATATACAATATATAATAGGTTGTTAAATATAAAATATGAATGAAGTATCTCTGAGTATCTATATTTAATTTGCATATTTCTGTGGATGTGTATTTTTGTGATTATTTGTGACGGGATTCAGGTTGTGATGATAACTGGCGCTAGTTCCGGCTTGGGGGAAGCCTTAGCTCACGCGTTCTACAGCTCGGGATGCAGAGTCATCTTGGTGTCTCGCCGAAAAGAGGAGCTGGAGAGAGTGAAAAGTGATTTGTTAAAAACTCATCAGGTGTGTAGCGCGATACTTATTTCAATGGAAAGTTTTTAAAGGGAAACTTTGTTGAATACCTCTCAATTATTCCACGCTTTTTCTTTCAGACGGTTCCAACATATATGCCTATTGTCTTGCCGTTGGATCTAACTGACATTAACAACATGAAGGATGAAGTGTCAAAAGCGATAATGGTACATGGCAGAATTGACATCTTAATTAATAATGCTGGCATTTCGTATAGAGGAGAAGTTATTGATACAAACGTCGATGTGGACATAAAAGTCATGTTATCCAATTATTTCTCTCAGGTTGCGTTAAGCAAGAGTAAGTGTGTTAATTCAGGGATCTACGATTGTAATAAACCAACAATAACAGAATAACGTTCGTTATTGATTTTACAGTTGTTCTTCCGTACATGATAAAGCAGCAGTCTGGTCATATAATAGGCATAAGTAGCGTGCAAGGGAAAATCGCTATTCCATTCAGGCAAGTATTTGATTGTGAATAAATGCTTCTTTTTTTTTTTAAACAAATTATTGCTGAATTACTAATTTTTAGATCTACGTATGCCGCATCTAAGCACGCGTTACAAGCTTGGTACGATACCGCAAGAGCAGAGCTATCTGACAAAAATATAAAATTTACAGTCGTCATTGCAGGATATATTAAAACAGCTCTTTCCCTCAATGCCTTGACAGGAAGTGGGCAAACCTATGGAAGTTAGTAATTACGTTCTTATTGGACATGCTAAATCAATGTATCGCACTCTTATGAGTTTAATATGCATCATTTTGTGATTGCAGTAATGGACAAAGCGACTGAAACGGGCTATCAACCAAAGTATGTAGCTGAACGCATTTTGAAATCTGTATTGAAGCAAGAGAAGGAAGTTACTATTGCAACGTTTGCTCCGAAGTGCGCTATAATACTTAGAACCTTGTTTCCTTCGCTTTACTTCTGGATTATGCAAAAGCGTGCGAGGAAATTAGCACGAGATAAATAATATCTTTTAGTTAAGTACCACCAATATCTTACAGATAACGTGATTGCGTTTGTCATGAATTTATGTACATAAATATATTTATAAGAAAATCTCAGGATGCAATTATGTATAATTTCACAGGGGATATGGATAAAAGCTATGTAATTTTGTACAAACAAACTTCCGCGCGAGTTATTATTGTTATGTACATATTTATATATAACAAGGAAAACCGGTTAAATAAAAGACATTATTCAAAAGTATATTTTATTTGTATCGTAGCCACTCTCTGACTAGTGGAGTATCTTTACATTATGTACACTTTATTACTAAGAAATTTTAATTGAAACTGAGACACTGAAATGTTTAGATATCGAGTGTGCTATCCATCTCTTAACGTAAGTATATAAGATTCAAAATCAATGGAAATTCCAATATCCTGAATTTTAAGTAGTAAAGATCTCAATTATATGTAGTCATTTAATGATTATTTGTTATACATATTATTTGTAAAATATTATAATTTAAAGACAAAAATATAGCATATACATATATAACTGCATTTGTAATAAAAATAGATAATTTTTTTCACAAGAGTGATAGATAGCACATCTATCTATAGTTACTATCCAATGTGTTATTAAAATTATTATTTCTTTTATTGTTAACACTTCATTTAATTTTTTTTCTATTTATTTAAGTAGTACAAACTTACTTAAAATATAACAATTTTAATAAGACCTGAAAAAATATGTCTACCATAATAAAATCTGAATTGTCATGACAGATTTAGCTATTCCATTATCCTGTATATTGATCACATTTTCATATGCCTTTCTTAAGTTTCGGTATTATTTCTATTCTTTACTTTAATCTAATGAAATAGATTGTGTAAAGAAACGCGATAAAAATGCATATATCATAAAATAGAATTTGGAGCGCGCGATTACATGCATTAATCACTATATATAATATTTATATGTAATCGGCCCTGGTACGTAATTACATTGTATATATAAATATAGAATGCAATTGCAAACACTTGAGGCATACTGAAAAAAAAAAAAAATTTAACGTACTTCGAATAAAACTTGACTGTATTTTTTTGCTACAATATAATCTTCCGCTAACAATAGTTAGCTTCTGTTCTGTGCAGTGGACTTTCTTTTTTAGTATTTGTTAATTCATTAATGTAATATGCTTGGAGAAACAAGTCTTTAATAAAAATACATTCAGCAAATTCCTGCGCTTCGTGTACAAAATAGAATTCTTTCGAAATCCAAATGCATGGATTTCCAGATGATTGATCTCACAGTTCTCGTTTCTTAAATTTTGTGCTATACTCATTACATAACGATATATAACGATGATATTTTAAAATATAATATATAAAGTATATCTGTTATCGTCCTAGGATTGATTTGTAATTTCTACAGCAATGTTCAGAATTATGTACACTGTGTCACCTTTTGAGCCCCTGTATCGATGTACATACAAACCAGAGAACCATTCCATTCGACCATAATAATTTTATATCACGCGTGACGGGCGTTCACGTAATGTAATGTACAGAATTTTAATTTTTGTTATCGTTTAAAAAACATTTATAGGAATGTTTGCGACGCCAACTTTTGACAGGACTGACGCGAATGAGTTTCGTACGTACGATTTGTGATGAAAAGAAAAAAAAGTATCTTACGCTACATTTATCATGATTAATAAAATAATAAAATCTAAAATTACATTGAGTTTTTTTTATGGTCAACATATCTTTCTGATATCATACTAATTCAACATAGATTGTTTTGTTGGGTGAGAAAATCTAGGCAATATACCCTTTGACGTATCATACGTATTGTATTCTCTCTCTACCTATTTTATTTACAGTCTAAAAATACATAATGCTAAATCCATATGTACTATTATAAATTTAATCATTCTAAGAACACTTATGTCAATATTTCTTTTTTTTTCTTCATTATAGGGACTGCATGTATATATATATAATGGTCTTTCCAGCTTTGCAACTAGTTACTTTTGAAAATTTAGCCAAGACGAAGATCACAAAGAATAACGAATTCTCTCAAATTACATGCCAATGCAAAAGCGCAGATAAAACCCGGCTCTTTACTTTGTGTATTTATGTGATTTAGTTCATCACATAAGCAGCATTCACCTGCGAGGTAGTATCAAAAAGTGTGTTATCAAGTCGGTCGTGAAAATGAGAGAATACTTTGTGTCATAATATACCGCACGGCACGGAGAATAAACACGAGAGTTTCGCAGCGTTTTCCTTTCAGCCAAGGAATTCTCGTAGGCCTACTACTATGAAACTCGAGACATCATGTGGCCTACCTTATTATCTCATTCTGGCTTAAGTCTCAAAACCGGTGCCAGTAATAACATTTTTTTTTTTTTCACTTGAACGCCTGGTACACTCTCCAGGCGGTAATACCGAGGGCCGCCAGTGTAATAGTCGTGTGAAGAATTCGTCTCCTCTTATCATCTTTCCTTACGAGAAACGTCGGGGACGACGGACCTAGAACAGCCAATAGCTCAACGTGCGGTAATTTGCTGGTGTCAGTCTCCACTTGGTACTGGCAGCAGGGATCAAATTGCCAGGAGACTGTATATAATCCACAGGTAATAACCGATGTAAAACCTAATGGACCACAGATGTACGGCCGATCGCCCCAGACTAGTCCTGAAAGGGATATCGTAAATGGCTTTTAATCAGCGATACCAGGCTTTTCGAGCCCGCGATGGCTCGAACCTTGCCATTGTATTCATTTTATTCGCATGTTAATTTATTAAGGTATAATTATATCAACATAATTATACACGCGTACGAGAAGCTCTTACATATATAAATGAGGCAAACCTGTGACAATCGCGGCAAGACCCGACAAGGCGGCAGTTTTATGAAGACAATTCCCCACCGCTATCCATCTGGAGGTTTCATCACCTAATTTCGACGGTTCGATAACTATTAAACTGCATTCCGACTCTAGCGCCCGCTCTAGCTCGTATTCAAATGTCTCGTGAGCATTTTCACTGTCGTACACTTCCCGGATAATGGCAACATTAGAGGATTCATCCCTGCGAAAAGAGGAAGTAAATTGTACAAGTTAACACTTTCCAAACTCGTTGACTCCTTGCATTTCATCGCGGGATTTAATCTTGCAACGTAACTGGGTTTGCAATATTCATGTGATTCGCGAACACCTCGGTGCGCCAAGGTCTTACACATATCTACAAGTGCACGTCTCTTCGATGTAATGAAAAAAGTTGGACTTGTCTCGCGTAATAAAGGTTAGCTTAGAATTTCATTTACTATCCTCGCGTTACGCCACGTAATCGCGGTTTACGCATCACCGCGCGTCCCGCAGCAACATCAGAGCAACATCAGAGTCAGTCCCGGTCTCTCTGAGATTTCTTTCTCTCGTCTGCGTTATGTAAGACACTGATCACAGCGGCGATCGACGTCGGGATTTGTTTTGGTCCGCGCACCCATCTCGTCCTCCCGGCGAGATCGCGAGACCGAAGCGGACTTACGTACGTGCGGCGATTCGACGTCGCGACCGAATGGGACGCAGTAACGAGATGAGGACGCGTGTCGATGTACGTGCGTCAAAGACGCACGGCTCGAGAAACGACGGTGAAAGTGACAGGAGTCGCGCGATGCGCGCTAACGCGACGAATCCGGAGTCGCGACTAAAAAATCTCCTCGCCGTCGCGCGAAATCGCGTCGAGCGTGGTCGCGAGTTTGACGCTCCCCCCGGAGATGTCGGCGATCACGCGAGGCGATCCGGAGATTTATTAGAGACCGATTCCGCCGCCCGCGCGACCGCGACAGCCGCCGCCGCGGCGGCTTTGAGGTTAACTCCGTTTGCAATGGCCGACGGAGGGGGAACCGCGCGTCAGCCCGAGACGTCGCGCTCCGACGACGTTTTCCCTTCCCCGGCGCGACGGACGGCCGGAGACACCGCGCGGGGAATAATCCCGGTCTACGAACCTGTCACCAGCTTCATCTACCATCTTCACCGTCGATCCCGCAGCTACTGAAACGGCGGTCTGCATCGGACCGGAAGAAAAAGCATGACTCGCCGAACCGGACGCAAAAATCAGCTGATGGAGCGCCGCGCGCGAGCGCGAGGTAACGCGCGTGCGAGCGCGCGCCGCGAGTGCGACTCCGGTGGTTCCGGCGGGGTTTAAATTTTCTCTTGGACGCGGCGGTAATCGCGTTTGAATGTTTCGCGTCCTTCGTTTCCGGTCTTGAATATTTCCAAGGAAAAAGTATGCGAATTTCTTTCTCGTAACTCCCGACATTAAAAGACTTGTATCGTATACAACATTATGATAATAAATTGATAATATTACAATTTATAATTATTATAATTATATCTACGTGGAAGGAGGAAACGAGTGGGAGGAGGGAGTATAATATTTAGAAGATACTGAAAAAGGTTTAAACGAGCGGGCTGCAATTCCACCTTGGTGGTTTTGCGATTCCCAGATCGGAGTACTCGTCAATATAGAGACGTCGCCGCGGCAATTTTCGAGCGAACGCGGTCGCGCGCGGCTCGTCGATAATCGCGGAGGTTCGGGCGATTACGCCGTGGCGGCGCGGCGCGCGGTGGGCGCGCAGGGGACTACATTCGCGATCGCGCGTAGTGCGCGGCGCGTAGTGTGTTCCGCGGTCGGCCGGGGCGAGCGAGAGTGCGGCGGAGCGCTGGCTCTCCGGGGAGCGCGCAGATAGAATTAAAACGGAGCGAGATCGCAGATGCAGGACGTTCGCGCGAGCGTACTGTCACGGGCAGCGCGGCGCGTCGTGTTGTCATCGTCGTCGTCATAATTTCGCCCGTCGTCTCGTGTCCGTGTCGCGTCGCGCGTATCCCGTACAGTCCTCGTCGCTCGTGCGCGCGCGCGTGCTAGAACGCGCTTCCTATTTAGAACGCGAGATTATAGGATTCTCGCGCTGGATTCCCGCATATATCGTATTCGGAGCGGGAACGCGGAAACTGTTCGCGCTCACGTCGCGTCGCGAGGTGACACAATCGAGTTATAAATGTTATAATCGCGCGTCGAGAGAAGTCCCCTCATTTCCCCCCCCCCCCGTCGTCGGACAATTTCGGGACTGGAATATCTCGAGAGTTTTTAATTCTCCGCGAAATCTCAATTCGTGCGACTGGCGTGAACGTCGCCACACACGTGCGCGCCCGCGTCCCGCGTCTGCGCGCGAGGGCGAGTGACATGTTTTCGAATCTCCGACAGCATCTGCAGTCGGTAGCGGTTGACCTGCGTGACAATCGGCGGTGGCGCGAGCGCATTCGGAGCGACGGAGTAAATCCACGTGCTTTTCCACCGGGAGTGCCGTGCCGCAGCACGTACGGGAGCGGCGTGGGGAGGAAGAGGCGGAGGTCGTGGCCGCGCCGCCGCGCCGCGCCGCGTCGATCGAAGGGGGATCTCGTACGCGAGAGAGGAGCGCGCGCGGGTAAGTGTGTGTGTGTGAGTTACGCGCCGCCGAGTGGGGGCGAGGCGAGTGTTTCGACCGGATCGCGCACTGACAGTCGAGACGACGAGAGTAGTGTGCTGTGTACGGCGCGGGTGTGTGCATATACGCGGCTGCGCTGCGCTAGCTCGCCCGCGGGTGAGCCGAGCCGTGTGTGAGTCGCGCGAGGCGCGCGATCCGTAAACACGCAACGCGACGCAATCCTGCGACGCAACCGGCGCGACGAACGGTCAGGCGACAACGATACGCACCTCTAATCCCCGGGATTCGAGATCGACGAGGCGAGGAGCCTGACGAGGAGCGACTGCAAGCGTCGCTCGCAGTGCGGGAGAGATTCTATCTCGTAGCACGAGGACTCCGGACTGTCGATACATCGCGATTTTCTCCCGATTGACACGGTGAATATTACGGAATTCGTGAGAGTGTTGCGCGGAAGCGAGTGCGGGCACAAGTTCGAGAGCGCGGCGGATTCCGCTCCTGGCCGCGTCGCACGCCTGCCGGAGCAATCCCGCGGCGAGTTTGGAGACGGGAGTCCCGCGGGGTGACATTCTCTCACCGGGAACAGCTGGTGGCGAATTCCCCTCGGAGCATCACCGGCGCCGCGTTCATCGACGCGTCAACGACCTCGGCTCCGTCCGGCGATCCGGCGTAAAGGAGCTCTCAAGTGGTGTTATCGTGTGACAGGCGAAGGTGTCAACGGCGCGCTCCATCCGCTGCAGGAGAGGAGGATCCGTGCGCGTGCGACCCTAAACGTGAAAGTGACACTTGCGCGCGGGAGCCAGCGGGAGTAAACACTTCCTGGAAGTAGCGGTTCCCGAGACGAGACTCGCACATACCGCTCGCCGCGAGGAACGGAACCGGTGACTGACGCGAGCGAGCAACGGAAACCAGGAGAGAAAACTCGGGAGGCAGATCAAGCGTGCGGCGAGGACGAGAGAGACAGAGAGAGAGAGAGAGGAAGAAGGCGATGCTGTGCCTCGGCTGCTGCGATCGCGGTTAATTCGCACGTGTCGCGATATGTCGGGTGGCACGGCGGGCGGCGTCCGCGGCACCGGCGCCGAGTGCAGGAAGTTCGCGCCGAACATATTCAACAAGAGCAAGTGCAGCAGCTGCTTCAAGCAGAAGGAGGAGCACAGCGCGGAGGCTCTGGAATGCAACAGGGTGAGTTTTGCTTGATGGACTCCTTCCATCTCCGTTCCTCCGGTGACCCTCTTCCTCGCTCCCTCTTTTCGGCTCCTCCTCTTTCGCTACCGCGCTCTCCTGCCTTCTTTCTCTCTCTTTCCTTCGCTTACATAACTATGTATATAGGTACGTAATTATAGTCATTGAATGTTAGGCCGAAAGAATGATTCGTCCTTTTTTTTTTTTGGCGAACAAAGTTCAGAGCAAAATTGTTCGGGTAAGAATTATTGCTTATTACTCGAAATAACGCGCGCGCATTATCCGTTTCGATAACGTTCTTTGAATAAGGAGAAAAAAAAGAAGTTTTTTAATCCTTCATTGAAAATATTCTCCCTGCCTTTATGAACGGAATTTAGTAGACAGAGATGATAAATTCAATAATTATTGCAAGCTAGAGATTTAATTTTTTCACGCAGCACAGACTTTGACTTATTTTTACTTATAATTATTTTATCAATTAGTTTTATCTTTTATGATATTAATTGATTGCATACATAAAATATTAATTTCAAATTAATTTACATATATACATGTTATATATATATGCTGTGTGCTCCGCTTCTCGGGCCTCAGAAAACTTGCATTCTAAGACGCGATAAATGCTTCTCTGTAATTCTGTATCTCTCTATGTCGCTCTTCCGATGTAATCTCCGTCTTCTTTCCTCTCTCTCTCCTTCCCTCGTGCGCCTGACGCCTCTTTTCCTTCTCGCTCACCCTCGAATTCCTTCCTGAGATCGAGGACGAGCGGGGCGAAGGAACGGAGGTCCTATGCGCCGCTATGTCAGGACGTCGACGTTACGTAAGATCCGTCGTTCTGCACAAATCGCTTTCGCGTACGCGACGCACGTTTCGTTTACTTGTCCTTCAAAACGACATTCGATCTTCCGGCTGGTTCGCATCAGGTCGCGGTTCATTAACTTTACCTAGCCAACGTCGCGCTGCACCTCTCTCTCTCTCTCTCTCTCTTTCTCTCTTTCTCTCTACAGATCAACGTGAGTAAAAATGATAGTTTATTCGATCGATGTTTACAGTGCCGCGCGAGCACGGCCGTCGCCGACTCCAATTATTACGTAATCCACGCGAGTATCGCGTATTAAAGAATGAAACGAGTAAGCGTTCCGGCATTGAAAATATATAGGTGCAATGAGTTTTCGGGCAAGATGACACAATTGCGAAATTTCGCGTGAATTGTGCATGTATGTACGACGGAGATTATCGTTTGACGATTATCTCGAGGGCCAACGCCGCTATATGCAGTTACTTGCCGCATCGTGCGTCTTTTTTTTCCGCAGCAATTTAATATTTAGACCGCTTTCGATCTCGCGTTACTTCGTAAAACCCGCGTTTTTTATGACGGTTAATCATACGCGTATAACGAGCGACAATTACGCGGCAATTTAAGGGCACGTCTTAAGTAAGCGTATTATAAAATCTGGCGCGTTAAAAGAAATTGCTTGAGAGCAAAAAAAGAAAATTTTGGTATACCGGCTTGCCTTAACGTTGCGTACATATATGAATTTAGTCTATGCATACATAAGAGAATTAGTGATTTTCTTAATTATATAAATCATATATAAACAAAGCAGTAATGTCAATGTAATTTTAGAACATTCAACAATATAGGTAATTGTGTGATCATATAAATTAGATTTTACATAATCTTAAATCTTTATATGTATGAGTATTATTAAATTTGTATCTAAAAATTAATTTCTACGTGTTTATGATAAAATCTGAACTCGATAAAATCGATAAAATCGATATTGCTTACTATCTAAAATTTTTTTATGTATACTTTTCAGGAGTATTTATTTGATAAAAAGAACAAATATAACTTAATAAATACAATAAATTGTAAATAGTGATCCGAGTTGATTCTCGTGTATGAAATATTAATCTGCCGGACAAAAGATCGATGCAAATTAAGATTTAATATAAGCAACAAATTTATTAAAATTTATTGCGTGAAAGAATTTACAATGATTATGCTACATGTTGCACAGAATAATTAGAAACGAAAATGTAAATGTACATAATATATTACACACTTCGTGGAGATTTAAATACTTGATCTATAGCTCTGTGGAATAGAATAAAAATTTAATTTGAGAGTACGTGCAAGGTATCGCTGCGTCACGATCGAAAATACAAATACATCTTCCGATGCGAGCGTACGTCAGAACGAGAAAGGAATCTTTATAGTTCTGCTTTTTTCGTCTCGTATAATTTTTATTTACGGAGGGATCTTCTCAGCGAGATCAGTGAACGGGCCCGTGAAAATCTTGGACGAGAGAAGGATGTACAGAGAGCTAGAGAGAGAGAGAGAGAGAGACAGTTAAAGAGAGAAAGAGAGAGAGAGAAAAGGAGAGAGACGAAACGAAATGTAAGAGCATTAAAAATCAATTCGCGCTGTACGGTATCGAGGATAGAAGTAGCTCGTGATAGCGGAATCGTTGTCACTTCGTAAATGCGTATTTCTTTCTGTAATCGCTTTTTTATACCCGGTCGCCACTTTACCGTTCGTTTTAATGCTTCATTAATTGTCGAAGTTAATTGTGCTATCTTTTAACTAAAGTTATAATGGCGCAACGGCGCGGCATCGTCGTTTGCACAAAATTACATTTCCTGTATGTTCATATATAATATAATAACGTTCGAATTTTTTTCCATCTTTACGTCATTATAAATTTCATATCGATCTTCCATTAAGATTCTGAATTGAAAATTGGATAAATATTATTTGTATTTATTTCATTTTTATCATGTTAGAGCAATCTAATTATATTTGATATATTTTGAGGCAAGATTAAAGGGATGCAAGAGTAGGCAAATTCCGAAAATATTTTCGTTTATGTTTTCTAAAAATTTTTCTATTTGAGCGCAAATTTGTGGAATTTCAACATGTAATATACATGACCAAAAATTCAAAGTTCAATCGTTCTTTCCGTTTTTAGCTCTAGTTTAATCTCGTGATACACATTATGAATTTACATATTTCGGAATAAAATTGGCGGATTAAAATTTGTTCGCGCGCCGTCGAGCGTTCGCCGATACACGGCTGTTTATTCCCGGTCCTCGCGCCGTTGCGAAATTTCGGAATGTCGGCAGCCTTGCGACCTGTTCTCGGTGCATTCCAGCCATCTCTTCCTTCCAGCACCCCTACGAGAGAAGAAGGCCCCCTCCGAGAGTTGTTGGCCTGTCGGCTTTCGCATGGATGCGGTATCTCTGTATCGGTTTATTCTCCCCGTCTCGCTTCCCCCCTTTCACACGGGCTTGTCCCTCTCTCTCTCTCTCTTCGTCTCTCCCGCGTGACCGCAAATAACGTATGCATACGCGACGCAATATTTCTTTACCCGTTGACCGTAGTATGGTTTTCCCGGTATAATAACCGATTTCGGTAACCCGCGATAGATAGAGAGAGAGAGAGAGAGACGGTGAGAAAGAAATCGAACGCTACAAACTCGTTAATCGGTATCCATTACGTGCCTTTCGTCACGTTGCGCGTTATTTTTCCAGCGAAAGTGTATAATGCCATTTTATTCACTATCTGAAAACCTGCAAAATTACGTAAATCCGATCCGCGAGATTTCGCATCGAGCAGCGGTAAGGAGGAGGAAAGGAGTTGTGATTTTCATTCGTCTCTTTCGAGAGAGATATTTCCCGATCCTACACACATATCTCATTCGCGTATCGTAAGATCTAATTTCAGCGAGAATATACAATCGTATGTCCGCTGCACGATAGAAAATACGATTAACAAAAGAAATCGGTCTTATTACGCGTGTACGTATATACGTTCTTGTTCTTGACTAAAGAGACCCTTGGGCCATGCTCGCTCGTGACCGGCCATTATCGGCGTGCAACTTGGTATTTTCAGAGTCCGATTACTTCTTCGTGAGCGCCTTCGTAAGTGCCTTCGAGAAATAATTTCCTGGGGTGAGAGAGCCCGAGAGACGCCGGTTGGGACGTACCTTAAATTTTGATCCGGTGAAACGATTCTGAGACGTCTTACGGTACCTCGGGCTTCCCTCCTCTGGTCGCTTTTGCGAATATCTTCTCTTGCTATCAAGTCCCTCGCGAATACTCTGTTTTTTTTTCATTCATATATATCTACTTTAACTTTTAGAGTAACTTGATATCTCAGATCAATTGTGATTCGAAAATATTTGATTACATTCTCGAAACTTTGTTGATGCCAAATCCGATGAATGTTCTTTACTATAATTTATTTATAAAAAGGAGAAATTTATGCAATTCAGTATTTAGAAAAATATAAAGACTGTAATTGGTGATTGTGCGTTGCATCTGGCAACGCGCCAGGTTAATGCGGCTCGGGTCAATCGCCGCCGAGTTTGTGTGCGATCTTTGAACTTTGTACTCGAAGAATTGTGTATTTATGTAACACGCAGCGGCAACTTTGTTTTCCGATTTAACCCGACGCTGCGGCATTCGTGACTCGATATCGACGCACGCACACGATACTTAATTAACAGCGGTTACGATCGTGGAGAAATTCCGGATTCCCCGATTGGATTGATGGCAATTAACGCGCGCTATTACACAACCGACATCGGCGTGTCGGTGGCGACTTTTTTTTCGTTCTTCCCCTTTATCCTCTTTGTCTCGTTGATGAGATCTCACCGCGGCGGCCGTATATACAGCCGGTGGTGGTATCTATCGCTCGGCCGAGGCACCGATGCGGATTTAATAGCTCAGAATGGAATTTCACCTTCTAATGAAATCAGACGGCTGGGCTGCTTTTAGCGATTAGCGTGCGGAGATAACTCCTACGCCGGAGTCACGTGAAATGGAAAAACCATTAATTATCGTCAATCGCGAGTCACGAACATTATCGCCGCGCGCACTGCACACGTTTCGCGGATATACTTTTTACGGCCGTCCCGCAGCCATTGTGTACCGTGAAAATGATTGGACCACATTAAAGGGGGTAAATATTATATTCATCAATTATGAAAATG